AATAAAATAGAAGGTATAACAATTGTAAATCTATGTGCACTCAAAGCAGGAGCACCTAAATACATAAAGCAAATATTAATAAATATAAAGAAATAAATTAACAGTTACACAATAACAGTAGGGGACTTTAACACCCCATTTACATAAATTGACATATCATCCAGCCAGAAAGTCAGTAGGAAAACATTGGTCTCAAATGATGCATCAGATCAAATAGACTTAATAGCTATCTATAGAATAGTTCATCCAAAAGCAGCAGACTATACATATTCAAGTGCACATGGGATATTTTCTAGGATAGATCACATGCTAAGCCACAAAACAAGTCTCAGAAAACTTAAAAAGTTTAAAATCATACCAAGCATCTTTTCTGAACACAATATCATGAGAATAGAATTACCTATAAGAAAAAAAAAAAAACTGCAAAAACCACAAACACATGGAGTTTAAAACCAATGGATCACTGAAGAAATCAAAGAGGAAATAAAAAAAATACCTGTAGAAATGAAATGAAAACAAAAACACAGGATCCAAAATCTATGGGACAGAGCAAAAGGAGTTCTAAGAGGGGAGTTTATAGCAATATAAGCCTACATCAGGAAACAAGAAAAATAAGGAAAACAACATAATCTTACACCTAAAGGGACTAAAAAAAGAAAAACAAAGAAACCCAAAGTTAGCAGAAGGGAAGAAATGATTAAGATCAGAGCAGAAATAAATGAGTGTAAAAAAAGAGCAGAAAAGATCATTGAAACTAAGAGCTGCTTCTTTGAAAAAATAAATGAAATTGATAATCTTTTATCCAGGCTTATCAATAAAAATAGAGGGCTTAAATAAGTGAAATTAGAGAGGAGAAGTTACAACCAACACCACATGAGAGGTTGTTACAAACAATTATATGCCTATAAAATGGACAACCTAGAAGAAAAAGGCAAATGCCTAAAAGAGTATAATCCCCCAAGACTGAATTACGAAGAAATAGAAAGTACAAACAGACTGATTCCTGGTAATGAAATTGAGTCAGAAATTTAAACAAAACAGAACAAAAAACTCCCAAAAAACAAGTCTACCAAACATTCAGAGAAGAGTTAATGCCTATCTTTCTCAAACTACACAAACAAACTGAAGAGGAAAGAACTCTTCCAAACTCATTCTGTGAGGCCAGCATCACCCTGATACCAAAACCAGACAAAGAAAGAAAGAAAAAAATTATAGGCCAATATCACTAAAGAATGCAGATGTAAAAGTCTTCAAGAAAATATTAGCAAAAGGAATTTAATAATACATTAAAATGATCCTACAGTACAATCAAGTGGATTTATCCCAGGGATGCAAGAATGGTTTAATATCCACAAATCAATCAATGTGATATATCACATTAACTAATAGAAGAATAAAAATTATACAATGATCAGAATAGATACTGAAAAAGATTCCAATGAAATTCAACATCCATTTATGACAAAAAATCCTCAACAAACTGTATAGAGGGAACAAATCTCAACATAATAAAGCCCACATATAAGAAATACCCAGCCAATATCATACTTAATGTTGAAAAGCTGAAAGCATTGCCTTTAAAATCAGGAACACAACAAGGATACCCACTCTCACCATTTTTATTCAACAGTGTTGGAAACCCTAGGTACAGCAATCAGGCAAGAAAAGGAAATAAGTGTAGATTGGAGAGGAAGAAGTAAAATTGTCACTGTTTGCAGATGACATGATACATATATAGCAAATCCTAAAGACACAATCAAAAGACTATTAGAACTAGTAAATAAATTCAGCAAATTGCAGGATACTAAATTTATATACAGAAATCTCTTTTACTTCTATACACTGATAATAAACTATCAGAAAGAGAAATGATGAAAACAATCCCTTTAAAATTGAATAAAAAATAATAAGTTAACTCTGTATAAATCTAACCAACAAGGTAAAAGTCTTGTACTCCAATAACTATGACACTGATGAAAGAAACTGTAGAAGGCACAAATACACATAAAGTTTAACAATGTTCATGGATTGGAAGAATTAATATTGTTAAAATGTTCATACTACACAAGGCAATCTACAGATTCAATTCAATCCCTATCAAAATACCAATGGCATTTTTTCACAGAACTAGAACAAATAATCCTAAAAATTCGTGTGGAAACACAAAAGACCCCAAATAGCTAAAGCAATATTGAGAAAGAAGAATGAAGCTGGAAATATCAAGTGCTGTGATTTAAAACTATACAACAAAGCTACTGTAATCAAAACAGCATGGTACTGGCACAGAAACAGAGACATAGCTCAATGAAACAGGAGAGCCCAGAAATAAACCCACACACTCATGGTTAACTAATCTATGACAAGGGAGACAAGAATATACAATGGAGAAAAAACAACCTCTTCAATAAATGGTGGTGGAAAAACTGAACAGCTACACAAAAAGATCAAACTGGACCACTTTTTCACACCATATACAGAAATAAACTCAAAATAGATTTAAGACTTAAGCATGAAATCTGAAACTATAAAACTCTTCGTTAGAAAACATAGGCAGTACACTCTTTGACATAGGTCTTAGTAATATTTTTTTGGATCTGTCTTCTCAAGCCAGGAAAACAAAAGCAAAAATAAACAAATGAGACTACATCAAACTAAAAAGCTCTTGCACAGTGCAGGAAACTACCAAAGTAAAAAAGGAAGCCTACTAAATGAGAGACAATATTTGCAAATCTTATATCTGATTTTCTTATATTTGAGCAAAACATTTTTCTTTGAAATTCCAACTAATAATTTACATCCTATTTTCAAGGGTATATCTTTAAGTCATATTTAATTTAAAATGTCTATATACTGCTATAATATTGATAGGTACAACATAAATTGTAAATTCTTTTTCACTAAATTGTTTCCTCTATCTTTATCTGTTCATTTTAGAACATATCAAATGCATTAACAAAAGTAGAATCCCCCTTATATTTTTATAGGCTTTACCCACACAGTGTATCTTACGATTGTAAGTTTTTAAGTTTTATTTTAGCTTTCAATACTTGAGACAGTGGCTATAAGAATATCCATTTCAAATTTATTTGTTAATTGCCATAGTAAAATATAGGTTTATTATATCTGTAACAGTTCCCTCCAATTAGTAGACTTCTGGTTTTATAAAACTATATGTTTTTCAGGATATTTTTTACATTGTCAACATATACCTCAAAGGAATTTTAAAGATATTTGGTAGTAAATTCTTCTTGTTTAACAAAAAAATCTATAAAATGATCATTTCTTTTCTAGTTATTTAGATTTCTATATACCAGTTGCATTAGCTGAATAATTTACTTAAATAAAGGATAGAGTTCAGTCTTCTTCTCTTTGTACTGACTCCTTGAGGAAGCTATTATTGATGTAATCTGAGGTGATACAAAAATAATTTCTTGGCACTGAATACCTCCCACACTCTGTTGTCAGAGTGCCTGACAAAGATCATCCTCCTGCGGTCACTAAGGGAAAATTCTTTCCCCAGGGCAAAGCCTGGACTAGAGGGTTCTCAGAGAAAGGAAAACAATGATTCTGTTTTAGTTTACCCATGTCCCTCTCAGACAGATTGGACTTATACCCAGGCTTTCTCAAATTCTTGTGTTCCAATGATAGGTATCAACCATTTATCTGTTCAATTCCTTAACCACTTCCGGACACTCCTGCTACTGATCCTCCAGCTCTGAGGAGTCCCCTGCCCCATTCATACCTGGGCATCCTTCTTCAGCACTGGCCAGGCCTCGCATTTCCTTGACATGTGATTCCTTAATACTGCACCTGACTGGATACCCTCTCTAATTATTTAGCCTTAATCTTGGTTAAGACTGGTCCATCTATTAATCAAATTTATAAATATATATGTTTTATTTTAAAATTTCATTTTATTTTATTTTTTATCTTTTGGCAGTGGTGGGTCTTCATTGCTGCATGCAGGCTGCCTCTAGTTGCAGTGAGCAGGGACTACTCTTTGTTGCAGTGTGCGGGCTACTCATGCTGGTGGCTTCTCTTGTTGCAGAGCATGAGCTCTAGGCATGGAGGCTTCAGTAGTTGTAGCATGTGGGCTCAGTAGTTATGGCTTGCGGGCTCTAGAGCGCAAGCTCAGTAGTTGTGGCGCATGGGCTTAGTTGCTCTGCAGCATGTGGGATCTTCCCGGACCAGGGCTCGAACCCTTGTCCCCTCCCTTGGCAGGCAGATTCTTAACCACTGCACCATGAGGGAAATAAAAACAATTTATTTTTAAATTTTATATTGGAGTATAGTTGATTTACTATGTTGTGGTAGTTTCAGGTGTATGGCAAAGTGATTTAGTTATACATATATATATATACATTTTATAAATATACATTTAGAATTCCTGGCAACACAGTCTTGACAATTGCTGTTCCCTTACTATCGATATATTCATATGCTGTGGCCAGCTTTAATAAAGGATTGTGGTCAAAAGCTGTCTTTTAATAGAGATATTTCTACCAGGTAAGTCTATTCTAGTGCTAATGGAGTCACCTGTTCCAATTTGCCAAAGAAGGAGATTCATCCTCCCCAGACACACAATATTCTGAGCTCAGCCCTGGTAGCAGTGCTATGTCCTTGAGCAAAATGGAGGTTCTGCCAATACCCTGATGGTATTAAGTAACTCCTCTCTGGCATTAAAAAGAAAAATGTTTTGCTCAAATATAAGAATTCCTTGTCCTTTAATGTTTTAATGCATTTGGTCACTTGCACCTTTGTATAGATCAGTCTCTCAGAATGCTTTTCTCCTGATAGGAAGGGCTGAGGGTGCATGTGATAGGTGGAGGAAGGGAAGGGGAATGGGGAGAAAAGCACAGTAAGTGCAGACAGAGAAGGAGAGAGGTACTGAGAGGAACGTCTCCAACCTCCATTTGTCACCATGCAACATTCCAGTATTTCCTCTCATTCAAAGACGATGAAAAAAATGTATCACAACAAAACCCATCAGTAAGTTTTACCACAAGTCCAGGTGTGCATAAACATGGCAAGCCTTCGCCAGGTTCACTTCCTCTGCACATTCCATGAACATGTAAGTTGGAAAGACACTCATAAAGTTCTTTTTCACAGGGATGTCCTGATCTTCCTGTTAAACACAATAACAAAGCAGAGATTCAACTGTTAATAATAATAATAGTTGTAAGGAGAATAGCTTATATATATACACATATATATATATATAGATTCAATTCAATTCTTAATAATAATAATAGTAAGGAGAATAGCTTAATAATAATTCAATTCTTAATAATAATAATAGTAAGGAGACTAGCATATATACATGTATATAGTTTATATACACTCCTACTCTATGTTAAAATAGTGCTAGGTATTTAATATAAATTGTTTCAATTCTCTTTATAATCATTCTATCAAGTAGCTATTATTATTATCTCTATTTCTTAGCTGGAAAAATTAAATTAAGAGAAGACAAATAATTTGACCTAAAATCATACAGTGTGTAGAAATGGAAGCAAGTATATGTAAAGTAAAGTTTCAGATTGTACCTTTGGTGCCATTCTACATTCCACATCTAAATTTCTTTACATATTTCCTTTGGAATAGATACGTAGAAGACAATGGAATAAACACACCCCATAATTCCATTTAAATTGAATCTTAAATTCAAAGGAAAGCAATTACTACAGATTTCTCAATGTGAAATGTTTTCTTGTAATACTCATAGTGTTTTACAGTTAGTATTTCTTAAGCTGTAGTTCTAAAGAATACAAATCTTATGTCTTTGTTCAGCTGACTATTGACTGTAAGAATTCTCCTTAAACATGAGATCTAATTTTCCACACTAAAGCACAGCGTGTTTGTCTTCTGTTTGATATTTTCCAGAATTTTAACATTAAACCAGCACCAACATTGCTAAGCTACACACAAAATATCTGAGCTGTGGTTTACTGGGTGCATATTAGAAGCAGTGTGAAACCATTGATTCTTTCTTATGGGCCAACTATTTATAATAAATCAGTATGTTTAAGAACATGTTAACCTGAATATACTATTCCACATAAGGATGAAAGGTCTACAGAAACAGCTGTCACTACTCTTTGATGACCTATGTGAACTTAAAAGCAACTTTTTAAACTTTATTTGTCTATGTATTATCCCACAGCATTTAATCTGAACTCTGGCTAGTGGGAAATTCAGTCTTATTCTTGTTCCTACTTAGCAATATATTCTCACCATTCTCCCTGATAAATTGTATGAGAACAATTAAATAAGTATTCTAGGGTGTTTAGAAATGATTTCTGTGCAATACCACATTATAAGAAGAAAAATAAAAAGGCAAGTTTAAGAGATTTGGGGGACCCAGATCAAAGTTAGAAGTAGCTGCCCAAAGACCAGTCCATGACTCTCGACTTTGTAATGTTCTGTCATGTAGTGAACATCCTGTGGGCATCTCTGTTCATCAGGCTATAAGAGGTGATTCAGGAAAAACATTTTTGGAGGGCTTATAAAAACCACCACAGCCAGTCATTCACATGGTTGAATCTTACAAACATATTGTTTTGCATAACAGCAAGTTCTGTAAAAACACTTACATTCTGATAACTGTCCCTATAAAAGTCAAATACACACAAACTTAATAACATCACTTAGAGATACCTACACGTATAATAAAATGCTAAGGAACACTAAAGGGATGTTGAATATAAAATTCAGAATTGTTTCTGCAAGGTGGGAGATACTAATGTGTTCAGAGAGGGATATCGAGAAGGCTAAACTCATTGCTAATGTTATTTCTTGAAGCAGATGGAAGGTACACAACGTTTATTATATTATCTTATACAATAAATATACATTATACATTGCTTGTATATTCTTTTGATTGAATAAAACAGTCCACAATATATTTTAAACAATTAAGAATAATAATGTAGCTTTCTTCTTCCTTCTAGTACTGTGAAGGATATTACAAACTCTAAACCATAAGATAGGAACAGGGAAAGAAAAAGAGTTCACCAGACCAGTAAAAAGACAAGGAAATTTTTATTCAAGAGTTACAATAAAAGAAAAAGACTATTGAATTAAGGGAGAACTATGGAACACAACTGCACTGAACCAAATGTAGGTGGAAGGGTTTTCAAGTGTTGGGATGAGCGAGTGGAAAAATGCTGGTGGATATTGGGCTGGGGGTGTTGGTCAGTGTGCTCAGGCCATCTGTGTGGCTAATGGTCACTCATTGACATTAGACACACCCCTCCCTGGAGGGGAGAGAGGGGCACTGCCTCCTTCTATGGTTCCATCAAAGTGCTGACTTTCAGGTCCTTGAGAAAGACATTCCTGGGTTGTAAAATTGGCAAAGCCTGCAAGAAAGTTCCAGCCTCGATGGGATGGAGAATTTACAATTACGAGTCTTCTAAAGTGAATGCTGTAAAGAAAGAGAGAGTGTGCCCTGGAGTCATGAAGAAACCTGTCTGAAGTTTAGTTAAGCTGAGGGGAACAGTAAGGATGTCTTGGTCAAAATCAAGAAAATAGGATAGAATAAAAGTTAGTAGGGGTTCAGCTCAGGAAACAGAAATCACTCTAGGTTTCTAAGCAAAAGGGGCCTTAATAACAGAATAAGACACTCCAAATTTATTAGAAGGAAGGGCTGTATGGGTCACTTCTAGAACCACAGATCTGACTCTCTGGGAGATGACACCTCAGTCGTAAGCAGGAAAGTAAGAAGCATAAAAGCCACCATTGAATGACTGAGTTCAAGATCCCCTTGCACTAGTTGAGGGAAGCTGGGTACCCAAGAGCTGCCACCACTTCCTCCCCAGCTACCTCTCTCTGAAGCTGGTGACTCAACACAAAATTGCAGTCTTTCTGCCAGTCCTGCTTTTTAATACATAGTCAGCGATTCAATAGTGAAATCTGCTGCATGAAACCCCACATGTCCATGACCTTCTCCACCAGATGAAACTGCTAAGACACCCAGAAGAGACCTTCACTATATCCTCCAGATTTCAGGTATGTTTATATTGGTGGAACTCAATTTATATTTACAATTTCAATTTCAAGGGAGTTTAGATATTGTAGTTTTTAACATCCTTGCCTCTGCAGTACAGAAACCACAATAAACAGGAATGGATGCTGAGTGTCAATCATACCTATTGTGGGCAAAGAATGTCATCTGCCGTATCAGTAACCAAAGTGTTACAGCCATTAAGCCAGCAGCCACTGTGGCCACCACCAACTGTGCACCTTGAGGGAATTCAGAATGGAGAAAACAGGATACAGGATTACTCTCTAGCAAACTAGGTAGTTAAGGTGCATGTCAAAGAATGATTTCAATGAGCCCAGACTCTGGTGTCTTCCCATACATAGAAAAGTGCTAAATCCATTAACCTGAGATGTCTGTTTTTTCTTTAATTAAGAGTAATCTTTTGATGTTCTGAATACATGGTTTTTGTTGCAAAAACTCTTGTATATCCTGGCTCCTTCCTTTCCTCTTGGGAGCCGTCCCTCAGAGAGATCTGAGAGGCTGCCTCCTGGGCTTAAGTCCTCAACAAGTCCACCGAATAAAACATGATACTCAATTCTTAGGCTGTGCATTTTTTTTCAGTCAACACTATCAAAAATAAATAAGATAAATGTCCTTGTACTGGTGTGGGTCAGAAAATGGAAACAGAATAAGGGACTATAAAACAGGCAAATTAAACTCCAGTAGGTGAGATTGAACAAAGAAAAACTCACAGAGATGAAGAAAACATCCTTGCGTCCCATATAGATTTGCTGTCCCTTTGTAATAAGGTAACCAGATGCTAAAAAAATACTGTTTGGTGATTAAAATCAATAAACCAAAAGTTTTCATTAGCAATTCAGAAAAAGTGATCAAATCATTGTGGTGTTAAACTCATAGTACTACTCTAATATCTGACATGTGATAAAAATAAATAAATGCTTATAGAATGAATGTTGCCAAATAATGCACATGTAAAACAAAGATGATTTTAAATGTCAAATTATAATAAAAATAACAAATTAGACTAATTTTTAAGGTGATGAACAAAACAAATCTTTAAATACATCAATATACATGACTAGAAACACTGACCAGTTTTAACACTACCATTCTCTGCTATAAAATAGCAGTTGTAATAGTTTGAGCTTATTAATGAAAATAAAAGTCACTATTTCAAAGATTTATATATTTTACTTTCATTTCATTTTCCCTCTCAGCACCAAGTGATTTTCATCTAATCTGGGGAAAATAAAATTAAACCTAAACTGAAAATAATTCTGCCTTAAAAGTTAATATAATATGTAGTAATTGGATAACATAAATGAAGTCTCTCTCCTTTTCTTAGTCTAATTTTAGAATATGTAAAATTGATTTTTACATCTATATCTTCATGAAAATATAATAGTATATACTCTCACATTAGAGATTATTTCACTTTTCATGGTTCTTAGTTAAAAGGAAAAATCATTCTATATTTCTTGTTATAAATACAAAAGCCTATCCCTGACTTAATAATTGTGAGCATGGGTGGCAGATAGCATATGTATTTGTTTCTCAGCTTTCTTGCCCCAAGGACAATGCAGCATTTCTGCTTCAAAATGAATAATGCTATTTTAAGGGCAAAATATGTGTCTGCAGTTTATATTATTACCTATACAAACACGACTGCACCCCTCCTGAGTATAAAAAGTGTCTGGAGGCTTCCCTGGTGGAGCAGTGGTTGAGAGTCCACCTACTGATGCAGGGGACACGGGTTCGTGCCCCGGTCCGGGAAGATCCCACATGCTGCGGAGCGGCTGGGCCTGTGAGCCATGGCCGCTGAGCTTGCGCGTCCGGAGCCTGTGCTCCGCAACGGGAGAGGCCACAACAGTGAGAGGCCCGTGTACTGCAAAAAAAAAAAGAAAAAGAAAAAAGTGTCTGAGCACAGTGACTGCCCCGGGGATTGAGAACAATTCCGGGAGAAGTATTCACATTTGCAATACAGAGATTTTCCAACTGTCAGCTTGCTCATAATGGTAAACTTACTGAGTGGTAAACACTTTTATGTAACACTATAAATGGGAGTACTTAGGCCAAAACATAAGTGCATTTTATTTTGTAAAATAATCTGAATATTTGTATTG